CCCCCCCCCCCGCGAAAACGTAAAAACTTGTGGCATTGCTACATTGGCCATTAGTAACTAACTTTCATTTACTGTCATATTTTGGACTACTTACATAATTTTAATTAAGACATTTTTATCACTGAGGTACCAGTATTTGAAATTAACACTGAAAAACTATTACAATTCTTCCTTCCCTTTTTATTTAGTCTTGATATGTGGTGATTACAGTGCAAGAACAAAAGCATTTTCTCTCTTTGTAACAGATTTAGATTAATTTTAAATTTAACTGTAACACTAAATTTTCTGGGTTTAAGTTAGTTTTCAGGATCACTTCAATATTCTTGCCATTTATTTTACCCAGTCTCATGAGAATGCACCCCAGTTATTTTAACCTGGGAAATAAACAGATTTATAATTTCACAGAATAAGAAATTGTATTGTGTGAAACTAAGTGGTACTTTCAATGGTTTGAAAATATGTTTAAAAAATCTATGGTATCTATTTTAAGAGGTATTATTGTTTTTTAGCATTATGACAATTCCCTCACCAGACTTCTTTGAGTGAAATCGAGGCTATTGAAATATATATTTTATATATGAAATTTGTACACTACATGACAAAACCCCATTGATTAACTATTCTTTCTGTACACAGCTAAAACAAACATGGTGCAGAAAGTCAAATCAGGCACAGATCAAAGCAGAAGAAATGCCTGATGACTATGTTTAATTCAATAGTGATACAGAACAAGTACCCAAATAATTCAGGTGTCATCACTTTGTCTTAGAACAGTTGGATACACACAATCTAGGCAGAAGTGGAAAACCTTCTAGTCCCCATAATCATGTCTATCCTTTTACTTCATTCTTAAATAAATACTTAATTGCTGCTCTGAAGATGCATAGGTCAGTTTGAATTACCACACAAAGGAATAAGATGATTGTAATTCCAAGTTTGTGGGATATCCTTTCCCATTCCAGAGAGAGAGAAAAGTCAAAAGGCACAAGGTAATTATGGTATTAAGTTGATCCAACAACTCTGTTTTTGTCAGAACTGTAATTAAAACCAATTTTTTTTTAAATCTGAATGCAGCAGTGAGCCAACTGTTACAGTATTTTTAACTAACATTTGAGAACCATGCTAGGTTTTCTGTTACGAATAAGGAAATTTTTCATGTCATAGTATTTATCACTTTGATTTTCCTTTTCTTAATTCAGAAGGAGAATGTTGTGTTCCAAGTTGTGGATGCCCCATCATTGGAAGTGTTCAGTGTCAGGTTGGATGGGGCTTTGAGCAACCTGGTCTAGTGGAAGGTGTCCCTGCCCATGGCAGGGGGGTGGACTAGATGATCTTCAAAGGTCCCTTCCAACCCAAACCATTCTGTCATTTTATGTATGATCACAACCCTCGTGTTAGCAGACAAGAGAGCAGTTTAGTAACAGTAGTCTTGAAAACCACAGTATAAAATAACTTCTCCCATAGCATTCAGTTATACCATTGCAGTTCCACGGAAACACACCCTGGAGCCTACAACAGCAGTTTCTTTTGTGTACTTCTCAGAGGGATTCTCACAAAATCAACAGTTAGATCCTGGCTTCTCTCCTTGCCAACTGTCAGTGCAAATTATGACTTTAAAAAAAAAAAACCCACAAACCATGAAATACCAAACACACATACAAACACCAGCAGTATAGTTCTGAATAAGTGCTGAATCAAACAGGGAAGATACATGATTAATATTGTAAGACTTTTTAAACTGTACCATAGATAGTTCTATCTGCCAACCTCCACTTCTGTCTGTAAACGTGAACAGACAGCTATGTTGCTTAAAATTACACGGAACTTCAGGTAACCTATGGTTGCCTTCTATTCTTTGATGTTAATACTGTAGCATAAATAAAAAAGATCATGTTGTGGTATAAGCCCAGCCAGCAACAAAGCACCATGAAGACGCTTGCTCACTCATCCCCCCACCCTGGTCCCAGTGGGATGAGGAGGAGAAAATATAAAGAAACACTCGTGGGTCAAGACAAGGAGAGGGAGGGATCACTCACCAATTACAGTCTCGGGCAAAAGACAGACTCAACTTGGGGAAAAAACCAAAATCAATTTAATTTGCTACAAATCAAATCAAAACAAGGATAATGGGAAGTAAACCCAAATCTTAACACGCCTTCCCCCCACCCCTCCTTCCTTCCTGGCTCAACTCCACTCACGGTTTTCTCTACTCCTCCCCCCAGCAGCACAGGAGGGCTGTGAATGGGGGTTGGGGTCAGTTCTCCACACCTGGTCTCTGCCGCTCCTTCCTCCTCAGGGCGCGGGCTCCTCTCTCCCCGGGCTGCAGGCGGGCATCTGCTCCCCCGCTCCCCTCCCTGGGCTGGGGGGGGACAGCCTGCCACCTCACCAGGGCTGCAGGGGCATCCCCTCCTCCCCTGCTCCTCCTCCTGTCCTTCCTCACTGACCTCGGTTATCTGCAGAGGAATTCCAATCTCCCACTCACTGCAGGTTTCCCCTTCTTAAATCCGTTCTCCCAGAGGCGCTACCACCGTCACTGATGGGCTCCGCCTGGGCCAGCGGCGGGTCCATCTTAGAGCCGGGGAATCTTCCAGCAGCTTCTCACAGGAGCCGTCCCTGCGGCCCCTCCCCCGCTACCAAAAAACCCCGCCACACGAACCCAAAACAAACCATACTACTTCTATGTGCAGTTAAGCGCTGAGTAAGAAAGTGTCAGGGGAAAAAATGTTAACGGAGTTCTTAAGATTAGAATAAATATAAATAATACAAGTATTTTGTTTAAAGTGTTCAGAAAAGAATTTTAACAGGCATTATGGTGGGTGACAGAAAAAAAGAGACTGAATAGGCAAACCAGGATAAAATTAAGGGAAAATGCATAAAGAGGGCAATATAGAAGAGAGAAAAGAAGGGACAAAATGGTATTTCAGAAGTAACAGAAAAACCACAGAGGAACAGAAAGTCTGTGACCATCCTTTAAAAACATACTTAGAGCTTTTATCAGAAATTACTAACATTTCTGCACTTCCTTAATGTTTCATTTTAGTAACATTCCCTATTCAACAGAGATGAAATTCAGATTGTTTTAATGAGAAAGTTTGTTTGTTTGTTTTAAATCCACTTATTTCAGCTGAAACTTAGAACCTACCCTACACACTTTGCTTGTAGGAAAAAAAAAGAAATAGGGAGAATATTCCAACATCCAGCTATGTTTCCACAAAGATTTTAATTCAGCCTCATATAAAGTACAAGGATGTTAACACTAAGATTGCAGTAAATCACTGTTTCTGGACTTCAGCAGAAATATAGAATCGTTCAATATTAGAAAGGAAAATAAACAAAAACTCAAAGAAAAATAATGAAAGGAAAATACTGATATAATGAGCTATTTATAAGAAATTACTGTTATGCTTTTGGTTATGAATGTGTGTTCATTGCACATTTCCATAATAAAACAGATGAGTTTAAACTACTGATTATTAGTGTATTTAAATTCTGTAATCATGTAAAGTGCCATTGTTATTGTAACCAAGGAATGAAATGCATCTGTTTGGGTAATTTAACCATTTGAAAACAATTCTTCAATGAATGGCTTTTTTTAAAAAATGCTTTATTAGGAGAATTTTGCAACGTTTCTCACAATTCAGCTGATGAAATAAATCTTCACTATAAATAATTAGCAAACAAAAAAATGTGACGTACTGCTACAGGTTGAAATTCAGACATTGTTTTCTTCAAGACAATCCCTTGGAATCAAAAGATAAGAGCTAGAAATAGCACTTCTGTATTTTGAAAAGATGTCTCTTGGTTGGGAGACTAAGAGCATTGCAACAGCTTGGCTGGGTGTGTAAGTGGAAGCATTGTAAGAAGGATTTTATCTTTAACCAACAGTGGTAGTAGACTGCAAATCAACAGTCACTTCAGAAAGTGTATCTAAATTCAGTGCTCAACAAACTGTTTCTTATAAAACTGTTAATCTTCAGAAGTTCTCTCTCTTCAGCTGATGGCAGATGTAAGCAAGAAGACAGACTCTTGTCAAAACAAGACAGCAGAACAGAGGATAATAAGACAATTCTGAAAGGATTCAGTTGTGACTGAAGCATTCTTTCCCTGAATAACCTGAGTTATGAGGTGATCAAAAGTTTTCCAGGTGGTTTCGGTATCCTGAAAGAGTTAAAT